GATATATATATATATATGTACATTTGACAACTTTGGTATCTTTTGTTGGCATTTTTCTAATATTTTGATTGTTTTTTTTTTCTTTTTTTTCTTTTTTTTTGCGTTTAGTGTATGCGTGATGTTGTGATAGTCACCTCACTGATCAATGGCTCCGCCAGCTGATTGTCGGTGATGCGCGTCATCACAGTTTCCGTGAATGTGGATTTGGTGATGGTCTCGGTGACGCGACCTATCTCGGTGGGCGCGGCTGGGAACATGGGTAAGTCTGGTTGCGGTTTGTTAACATTCACGGTGACAGCGCTGACGCCCACCTCGTTGGGCCGTGCCACATGCACCTGATGCTGACTGCCGCCGCTGAGAAAATGTGCCGGAATCATCGCCTGAAAATCATCGCTGGTCAACGGCCGGAGTGATGAGGGCTGCTCGTTGTCGTAGATGGTTGATTGTTTTTTTTTTTCAATTTCAATTTCAATTTCAATTCGATTTGGACAAGTTTTTTGGATTTGGATTTTTTTTTTTTTTTTTTTTTTTTGTGGAAAGTTCATTTTTAAAGCAACATTTGGTTTTATAGAAAAAGAAACAAAAATATGTTGGTTTTTGTAAATTTCGTTACACAATTTTTGGATTTTGGGTCTAAAAGCTAAGCTAAACTTTCTAACTGTAGATGGTATGAATGTGTGCCGTTTCATAAATATATATATATATTTATGTTATATATTGTATGTATGTATATAGTTTCTGGCTAGCCAGACCTGCCCTTAACTGGGCTCTTCAATCTCAGTGCATACGTACGCTATAAGCCAAGGACAAAAAGAAGCAACACAAAAATTGCTTGTGCATACTTATCTATGTACTTATATAAATGCTTGGGGGTAATATGAGACCAAAAATGACAAGAAGTAACAAGATAAAACACGAATAGGAGGAGCACGCACAGGGCACATGCAAAACAAACACAAACAAATTTCGTAAATATATGTAGATATATATATATAGTATGTACTTATATTGTGTTTATGTAGTAGATATGTATGTGTGTTGGCTAAGAGCTAGGGTTATAGGTTGATAAACTGGCAGATACGAGTATGTATTAGCACAATTAGATATACAATATATTTATATAATTGTATTGTATATAAAAATGAGTTCGTTTAAGGAGGAGTGTTTATGTGTTTATCAACAACAATTTGCATGAATCCTTGGGCATCTCACCTGCGCGCCAGTTGGCCAACAACCATGCCGAGACTTACCTGCTGGATCTGACTCGATTCGAGTCGAGTCGACTTGACTTGACCAACTGTCGCGCAAGTTCTTATGGTTTTTAGTGTTGGCCTGAAAGTTACTTAAGGCTAAGCCTGAGCATGGATTAGGGAACGAACAAACGAGCTTATGATCAACATTAAGATGGCGTGCAGACAACTAGACAGTTGATTAAAACTAGGACACTAACAGAGCTACGATTAACCACTACAAAGTATTCGCTTGTTATCCTACCTGAGCCTCGCCAGAGTCGCCGCTGCTGGTGGACGCGGCGCCATTAACCGGACCATCGCCATCAGCATGAGGCACTGAGTTGGTGCGACGTGGCGCTGGCACCGGCTGGCCCGTGGATTTGTCAATGTGCGCAGCTGGAGCTGCGACTGTGGCAGCTGTTGCATAAGCTGGAGCAGCAGCTAATGCAAATCCGTTGGTTTTATTGCTCGGCAGCGTATTATTATTGCTGTTGTTATTATGAACGACGCCAGTCGTCACAGTTGCCGCCGGCGTGCTGGCCAGTGTGTTGTACTTGTAGGGCTGCTCGTCGCCAACAGAGCGTCCAAAGTTTGCTGCTCGACAGAGAACGAGAGAGACAGAACGAAAGAGATGGGTGGGAAGGAGGGGTGGAAAAAGTTAACAAAGTTAAGAGAGCGAAGCATTGAGGCGTGAACAGATTCTAACCTGGTCGATTGGCCAGATAGCCGGACGGGCTCAATGAGTTGAGCACGGCGGGACTGCGCGGACTCAGTGGCGGTTCAAGTGGGCCGCGGTATTCGCGCTGTAGGACGAGCCGCACAAACCGCTGCGGCTCAGTGAGGCAGGCAACAGCCGCGTCGTGATGGGCCTGCGTCATGTCGTTGCCGTTAATCTGCGGTAGAAAAAGGTGTTTTCGTTCATACAATGAAATGCAATTAGCGTCTGCCACTTATCCCAAAGCAAGGCTCGATTCACTCACCGCCATCACACGGTCTCCGACCATGATTTTGCCATCGCGATGCGCCAGACCGCCCTCGGTAATGCGCGATATGAAAATCCCATCGCAGTCATCCTTGAATGGCGGTGAACCCTTGCCGCCGGCTATGCTGAAGCCCAGTCCCTGCCCAATCTGATCGCGTATAAGCGTCGTGTGCAATTGAATGAAGCTCAACGGCGCCAAATCCTGTTGTGAGACAACAAACGTCAGCATCAATGGATTACAAGTCTAGGTAAAACGTCGGAATATGCTACTTACTACTTTGCCGTTTTCTTGCAGCATGCCATTCGTGGCTGACGAGGGCGTGGCAAACACATTGGCCGAATGTGCATGGGCAGGTGGCAGCTGTTGCAACTGATGCACTGGCTGCTGTTGCTGCTGCTGCTGCTGCAGCTGCAGCTGTTCTGGAACTATTTGAATGGGCGACGGAATGTAGCGCTCCTGTGTGACAGCTGGAGCTTCGGCCACCAGGGGTCGTGTCTCTACAGAGATCTGCGAGACGCTGCCATCTTCGCTGAAGACGGGATGGCCAATCAGGCGTGTCACCTCGCGCTGCACCACCAGCACCAGCACCGCGCCACAGGCCTTCAGCACCTGCACGGCCTGGTAATGATCCGCGTCCACGACAACAATGCCGTTCACTTTGAGCACCTTGTCGCCGACCTTGAGGCCGGCCAGATCGGCGGGACCCCCCTCGGTTACGCGCGATATGAAAATGCCATCGTCGTCGCCCTTGAAGGGCGTCGAGCCCTTGCCACCGGCTATGCTCAGGCCCAAGCCCGCCGTGGTGCGCTCAATGTGTATCTCGTACTGCTCCAGGCGCAGCTCCGTCACGCCATCAATGTTATCTGCAAGAGAGAGAATACATTATTCAGTATGCATTCGAGATGATGTTCGTGTGCTCAACTATTCCACAAGTGTTTACCGAACTGCTGCCTATTTCGCTCATAGTCCCGCTCTAGGGGATCGTAGCTGGTCACGATGCGCACGTGCTTGCCTTTGCGCCGCAACGAGCCGCCATTCGAGGAGGCCAGGGAGCTGCGTAGGCTGCCCGTGGCGGGACTGTTACGTCCACTGCCGCCGGCGGCCATCAAGGAGCTCCCATTGTTGCGCTGTGCGCTGCGGGGCAGAGTGTTGTTGCCCTCCTTGACTTTTATTTTGACATTGAACATGATGCAGCTTATGAGTTTCTACTTGAATGCACTTTCAATATGCGCTGCTTGGCATCATTCTAGGTCTACGATTGCAATTGAAGAATCACCCTGTTTGTTTGCTAAAGAAACCCTTTCATTTGAATGCGCTTTGCAATAAGAAGCCAACCACTCTACACCACACCACACTACACTCGCATGCCCTTCACTTGAACTGATGTGCATTTGATTGGAAAATTGCATAAAATAAATTTCAGCAGATTGCTCAAATTATAAAATAAAATATGTTTTTATTGCCAATACATTCGAATCGGCAGACGCCATAGACGAAATTGAATTTATATGCATTGCATAAATTACACATTAATGACATCAAAATTTCCCAGCAAATTTAATGGCCAAAAATGTTTTGGCCAAGCGAAAAGTCTGCAGCTGGGGCCCCACTCAGGGGCCAATAAACGAGCAACTGGAGAGCAGACGAAGCCACCTTCGTCGGCCATAAAGCCAACGACCTTGAGCCAAAACAACATCAGTCCAGGTCTGCCCTGAAGCGACTTTTGTATAATAATTAAATAAATTAGGACTCGGAGAGCTCCAGGGAGCAGCTCCAGCTCGTGCTGCTCGTTGTCTACACCTTGGCTATAGCTGTGAACGACTGTGAAGAACTGTGAACTTGGCTGATTTGCACTCAATAAATCCGTCCGCAGTTTGCCAAACTTATTTTGGTTTTAATGACTGTGGCGCGTCTAATGGCGTGAGCCGCTTCACATTTATAATTTCTCTCGTTGTGCGCAAACAATAATTGAAGTCTGCATTTTAGATGTATTCGTATTCAAACAGACAACAGTTATTCGCGCTGTAATCTATACCCCGCATATAAATTATTAAATTCCACTTTTTTTATTACTATAAGCTTCAGTTTAATTTCGCCCACAAAATAAGACTGCCCTGATGTTATCGTTATAAATTGGCAATTATTTATTTTGTGCTCCGCTTGAATTATTTGAGAATGCTTTTTATTTAAATCATAAAACAACGAATGCCGACGACTGATAAATAATACGGCAATAAATGCGAAAAGATTTTCATTTCTTCTTCAGCTTGTTGTTGAGCGAATGTGTGAAATGTTCAACAATTTCACTGATGGCTGTGCCATATGAAAACATTTTATGGCTTTACACACACAAGCACATAAATGCACGCATACACGTGCACACAAATTGGGACTTGAAAGTAAAGCCATGAAGAAATCTTTGCACTTTTGTTTAAAGCCCCCAAAACACACGCATAAACAACTTAGATCTTCAGCACTCCAAAAGTGAAATACTCTCGCTGATAGAGAGTAAAGAAATTATTTTTAAATATAGTATGGAAATATATTAAATTAAAGAGTTGGATGAGTCTAACAGCTTTAAAGAGAGCAGAGTGGAATAAATTTAAATAATCAAAATATAATATATTGATATGATATTTCGATATTTTGAGTCGAATTGGAATCAATATGTTCATCGCATTTTTTCTGGGAAATATTTAATTCGCAAGCAGAAACATAAACTAGCAAACAAGATGAGCAATCATAAGAAATAACGAAAATATATTCGACTGGCTTTGGCTAACTCAAGTCTGGTAACACGAATTGACTGTGAGTGCGAGTGTGAGTGTGTGTGTGTGGTTATCTGTGCTGCAGCAGCTGCCAATAAGTAGGCAACAAGTGTATAGCTGGTTGCCATGATTCGAGCTTATTTGTGCAGATTGTATATCTGAAAGCCTTGGGCTACTCCATAAGCCATATGCCACATGATTCCGTATGAAAAACAAGTAAATTATAATAGTTAAGGCATGGAAGCATAGAATTTTAGTATGCTTTTGCCTAATGGCAGCTGCATAATCAAAACGTGGATAAATATGTACTAGAATGTTTACTGACATGAAATTCCTCATTCTATTTTGCCACGTTTCGAATCTCTCGCAAAAAATAAACAAACTTTCTTCAAGAGTTGAGCTTTTTGTGAGTAGCCCGAATATTTGGTCCGCACACATGTTAGCGTGTCGAGCAGTTGCCATTTCCACGCACTCAAATAAACATTTGAAAATTTTACGACGCCCTTCATACATTTGAGTGTGCATTTAGGTATAAGTATTTTAAAGATGCTCAGCGACCGTTGCGCCCAATGAAGTGCGTAAAGGAGGGGCGGGCCGAATAAATAAATGAGAGGCAGGCACTGTGGGGAGCATGAATTTAAATGCACCAAAAAAATAAGAAAAAGAATAGAGAGCCAAATGGAGCAACGCATAAAATGCGCGGGTAAAACTCATTAAAAGCGCTGCTGGGAAAAACTCTAAACAGCAACAGAGCGCGATTTCCCCGAACGCATTTTGAATATGAGAAAATGTTCGTCTCTGCCTACGTGAAGTACAGCTGGCAAATGCCAAATCAATGCAATGTGACGACGACTGTGACGCGTTTTGCTTATTTATATGTAAATGACCTGGCCTGGAGTCTGAATGTCAAAACACACGCGTGTGTGAGTGTGTGTGTGTGTGTGTGGACCACATGTCAGAAACCCAGGGAGTTACTAGGTCTGCGTCTGTGGCTCCTAGTCCCTGGCGTCTGGCCTCCAGCTCAGATCCAAACTCATATTTCACATGTAGGACAGGCTTTGTGTCCAGCCATGTCGTGCATGTCCTCTCTCCGGCCATTGACAGCCGGGCAGCCGGGCAGCCGGACAGCCGGACACACGTCTCCGGCTTGAGTCCAAGTTCAGTGCTAGTCGACCCGCATGCCTCAGAGTTTGCTTGTTGAAATGCTCGCATTATTTCTCTTGCTTCTGGCGGACCATTGACATATTCTCTTTATGACACAAGTCGAACTTGCTGGGAAAACTTGAAAAAACATTTTCTTTATGCAAATTTAATGGACGCATGTCAGAGACTTATGCCAACCGAAGAGCCGGGCACTTGTCTCCCACACAATTGAGTTTTCATTTATATTCTGGCTACTGTCAATTGATCCACAGGCCTTTATATACCCAATGCCAATGACCGCAGACGTAAACGCCTTAATTGCATTCTATTTGGCTTTCGATATTCTGCTCTTTTCTTTTTTAAGGCTAATAGCAAAAGATCAAGTGCCTAATTGCACTTAAAGAGCTTTCGATGAGCACGTGAGCTGACTCCGCCCCGTGCCCGGCCGTGAAAATTCATGTGGCAGGGCTCAGTCTGCAACCGTTGTGATAAATTGCCGGCCATGTTGCGGGAGCTCTTGACAAATTGTAAGTGTATGGCTATCAAAATCCAGCGGGCACAAACAGTCGAGCGACGCTTTTAAATGCGGTGCCACAAACTAATGAATCACAATTTTTGTTGTGGCATAAAAACGTTGACTTATTGTCATAAAGCCAAGCAAAAAGTTGCACTTTGTTATCTGCAGCAGCGAAACGCGTAGATGCTTTAATAGCAAACGCTGAATGTTGCTTTGGCCAAAGAATGAAAAAGTTTGCGGAATAAAAATTTTTATTTTCCATATTTTCATTCCAAATTTATGGGTTCGACAGATGAACAGAAGACGACTTGCGATACGGGCCAGCTATATATTCTGACATGAGTTACACATTTCATCATCAAATCGAACGACCCCTTCTAGGTGTATAAGAAAAACAAAACATATCTTTGTGTACAACTTTTTGATAGGTGCTAAAGCGTTCTACGTATTTTGAAATGAATCGCCCCGAGAAGGGGTGCGCTCGTTCATATCTAATCGGGTGGCCGTATACAGGTATGACAACAATAACTTTGGAATGCCTAAAGCCACGCTGATAAGCGCATAAAGGCAGCAGAAACAGAATCACAAAATATAAACAGAAACAAACAGCGCTGACGCGACGCACGGCACAGCTCTGGAAATTAAATTGGGGTCTGCGATAAGGCAGCAAAAATTGGAAAACTGAATCATTACGACATATTTGGGACGGCGTACGGCACCAACATTACACCAGCCCAAAGTCAAGCGTTAGTTAATGACCTTGGTCCACCTGTCGTATGCGTAATTTTGAGTAAGGGCCCCATACGCCATCGGCTTATCAATGATTACATTACGGTGCGATGGACAATTGAAATTGATATTATGGCATGAAGAAGTGAAATACAATGCACACACGCACAGAATGGCTGCAGGTGTGTGAGTGAGTGCATAGGTGTGGGTAAGCGTGTGTAATAGGTTAAGCGATGACATCATAAGTCCATTAATTTTCAGCTCAATTTAACGCATTATTCGCAAGCCTGACAACTGTTTTTGAATGAAGTAGAAGTGCAATAAATACTACAAACTGATTTCAGTATGCAGAAGCAAACATACTAGAAATTATAGCTGATGCATTACAGTCAAATTTTTTTTGGGAAAAATGAAAATTGTTGCACGTTAATAGCGTTCAATTTAATTGAACGTGCGATATAAACTGCATGCAGAAATAGAGAGAAAAAAATGAACGCTGTGTGCAAAAACAGAGCAAAAAGGAACGAAAATGGATTTTAATTAGTTTCACATTTTCTGTTTTTTTTTTTTTTTTTTTGGCTGACTGACAATTTGAAGGTTTAATTCGAACTTGAAATGGATGGAACAGAAAAAAAATCCAAATTAAGCGGATGCTTATAGCACATCAAATTGGTATCGATTAAGCGAAGAATTCAAGCAACTATCATGAGGCATAGTAATTTATTTGAGTACCGAAGAAGGGTATGCGAGAATTGATTTAATATTTTGCAACACCAACGAATCGTAAGGTTAAGCACATTAAAACGGTATTCGACTTGCGATCGCTGTTAGCACAGAGTGAACAATATTTGTTCGCTGACATGTTGCCTATTCACACGTCAAGCCAACCTCCCCTCCCCCTCGCTCAGGCACAGCCTGTAGCAGTAAGGCTTCTAGTATTTCGCGGATTTGCAATATTTTCTCGCTTTGAATGTAATGCAAAATCGTGTGACATAACCATTTGCGCTTCCGCACTCGCCGCCCGCTGTTCCTGTCGGTTACGCAGTTTGTTTTTCTATTTTCTTTCCATTTTTTTCTAAGCCATATTTTCCTTAACTGGCATTTATTGCATTTTTCGTGTTTAATTTGAGTGCGCGAAATGTCGAATTATCGAAGCCAACAACAAAGAGAGCTGACTGACTGACAAAACTCACAAAACGAAACCGCTTAAGCTGTTCGAAAAAAAAAAAAAAAATAAAGAAATAAAGAAAGAAGTAAACGATTCGATAATGGAATATCCATCAAAATGCCGATAGTTTCAATTGTTGCCTGCAGCAGCAGCAACAACAACGTGAGCAACAAATAATAATCCAACAAGAGTGTTTTGACATAGCAAAAGGGCATTTTAGCAAACAAACAATGCAAACACGCACAGTGCAGAAATTCAATAAGGGCCCAGCGTGCAATCAGCAATACAATACATAAAATCAATTGCATTGCTTTGGGCTTATCAACGGTTTCGGTTTATTTATTGGCCAACCCGAGTACTGAGTGGGTGGGGCTGGGGCAGCCAGGGGCAGCAGCAGCCACACACTTTAAGAAATCACAATGCGAACTGATGGCAAATGCAGCGTATTGTTTGCCAAAGCAATGCAAAAAGGTACTGAGCAAATGTTGATTGTGCTTGTGAGGCAGCTAACCAAAATAAAAAGCAAGAGGAAGGAAGGCAACAAGCAGCGAGTAAACCGGATATGCACACTACACACACACCCACACACACACACACACAGGCACACCAATATGCAAAAGGAGATAAACTTGGCATATTTGTCATGTGCAAATATATAAAGAAAAAGAGAGAGAGAGAGAGACAGAAACCCAAAGCGAGAGGGAGAGCGGTAGGGGCTAGAGCTAGATAGAAGTCTGTGACTATATAAACAACATACAAAATTTCCTTTCAAGCTCGCTCTTTTTTCTGCGTATTGCATTGCAGCCAAAATGCAAATAGCGGAAGCTGCTGAAGCTCCAAGGCAGCCAGCAAGCAGCTCATGTGCCACGGTCTAACCTTGAGCAGCTAAATCGACCTTGCCACAAGCGCGCCAGCGCCTTACACTCTGCATATTTACACTTGAAATTCAATTTGGGCTAACGCTGCGTATACGCGATGCAAGTGTCGGCCGACAAAAAGTGTCTAATCAGTGGCTAGGTAGCCGCAGCTCAATCGATAAGCAGCAACAGCAATTCGCACTCGTTTGCAAAGTGTAATATGCATGTGCATATATATATAAAAGTATACATATATATTTAACATACAACTGTTTTTTTTTACATCTTGCTTTTCGTTTTCGGGCCTCTGACTAAGTCAAGGTATGTGAAATTTTTGACTTCAATGTTATTATTGCCATTGTTTTGGCTCCCAAGTGGGCGAGTGTGTGTGCGAGTGAGTGGCTTTGCTTGCGTCTGTGTGTGTGCGTGTGTGTGTGTGTGTCTACTCAGCAGGCGTTAATAATGATAAACAAATAATAGTAAATGCTATTTGTATGGAACTCAAGACAAACGCGATATATATAGCGCGCGCTCTCGCGATGTTGACAAAACGCCAGCGTTACTAAAAAATGACTAAAGTCGGCGGCAAATGGGCAAAGTGTCGAGACCCAGACCCAGAGGCAGACTGCCAATTGCACTCACACACACTCTCTCTCTCTCTCTCTTTCGCTTGCCCTCCACTGCTCTCTTTCTTTCTGACTCTCTCTCTCTCTCTAGTAAGCAACCTGTGTACTCACAGTTCACACTCACACACACAGAGGTAGCTACTCGACATTTGCCATAATGAGGCGGCTGATTTCAGCTTCAGTTTTCAGTTTTCCGTTTTTTATTTATTTCATTTTTTACACTTTCTCAACTTGTTGCGCTCTTCATAGCTGTCGCTCTTTTTCGCTTTGCTCATTTGCCTCTTTAATGTTTCCCCTTTTCCCCCGTTTCTGCTTCGTGAGTGCTCACACTGAGTTTGCTGCTGTAGTTATCTACCCCGCCCCTTTTCCGGCCCACATGTGTATTTTATCAGCTTTTGCAAGCCAGCAAACAGATAGCGCACGCCGATAGCCCCCAGGCCCTATATATAGGCGCTGTACTGGCCCTAATTATTCGAGTTGCGTGTCTGTGTATTTATAGACCGAATTTCCAGCACTTGTTTACCTGTTGCGCACATCTTTGCCTCCCAAACTCTAATTTTTATCGTAACGCTCTTTTAATGGACCTGCGAGATAATGAAATCTTTGTGGTCGCACTTAACTCGAATTGGTACTCGAGCAAGTCTTGAACTGATTGCAATTAACGCGCTTGAATACAGCCAGAACTGACCTAAGATGTTGTAAGAGGTCCGAATATCCGAATAAATTCGATTTCATGTACATATATGTGGATGTTTACAGACTCTTAAAATATAAATATATAATATATCATTGGCATTATAAACGAATGTTTACTTTTAAAATACTTGATGATACTGAAAAAACTATTATTGTCTTTGATAGATAGATAATTGATCTAGTTCATTATACAGTTCTCTTAAGGATATAATTTTTGAAATACGTTGCGAAGGAACTCTTTTACATAAGTTTTCGAAGCTCTACTCAATATCATAAAACTAATTTATCATATTAGAAAAGAAATATAGTTTTGCTCTATTAGGCCACTCAAATATGAAATTTATAATTTAATGTGAATAAATAT